GTGGGGAGGGATGGGAGTTTTTTTAGGGGTGTGTTTTTTCTGTTTGTTTTTTGTTTGTGTTTTTTGTTAAAAAAATAATAAAAAAACTTTGAAGAAAAAAAATATATTCTGAATTTGACAGGGAGCCAGTGGAGAGAAGCTAAAACTGGAGAAATATGACCTCTTCTTCCAACTCTCATTAGAACTCTAGCAGCAGCATTTTAGATTAACTGTAGACTTCTTAAAGAGATTTTTGGATGCCCAGATAATAAAGAATAACAGTAATCCAGTCTAGACGTGATAAATGCATGAATCAGTTTTTCCATATCACTTTTGGACAAAATGTTTCTAATTTTAGTCATATTACGCAGGTGGAAGATGGCGGTCCTGGTAACATTTTTAATGTGGGGGTTAAAAGACATATCCTGATCAAAAATAACACCAAGTTTATTTACATTAGAACTGGAGGCCAAATTAATGCCATCAAGAGAAGGTGAAAGGCTGGAAAGTTTATCCCTGAGATGTTCAGGTCCAAAAACTATAACCTCTGTCTTACTGTAACTGTGTTTAGAAGCAGAAAATTAAGTCATCCAAACTTTTATGTCGTTAAGACATGCTTGTAGTTTAAGTAACTGGTTGGACTCGTCAGGTTTCATGAATAAATATAACTGAGTATCATCAGCATAACAATGGAAATTTATCTCATGCTGTTTAATAACTTTACCTTATGGAAGCATATATATCAAGATCAGGTTTCTTAAGTAAATGTTTAATTACAGCAACCTTAAAGTTCTGTGCACATAACCATTCATTAGAGATAAATTAAGTACATCTAAAATATAGATATTAATTAAGGGAAAAGCTTCTTTAAACAGTCTGGTTGGGATGGGATCTAGCAGACATGTTGATGGTTTGAATGAAGCTATTATTTTAGATAATTCAGAGGGCTCAACAGGACAAAAACTGTCCAGACATAAATCAGGTTCTAGTGACACTAAAGCTTCCTCATCTGACAGAGAATCAGAGACAGTAGCAGGAAGTTTGGCATGAATTTTATTCCTTATTAAAATTGTTTTATCTATGAAGAATCTCATGAAGTCATCACTACTTAAAGTTATAGGGATACATGGCTCAACAGAGATAGGACTTTCATTAGTCTAGCCACAGTACTGAACAGAAACCTGGGATTGCTTTTATTCTCTTCTATTAAAGATGAATAATATACAGTTCTCGTTTTACGAAGGGCTTTCTTAAATGTTAGCAGGCTGTCTCTCCAGGTTAAATAAAATTCTTCTACAGTAGTGGAGCGCCATTTTCTCTCCAGTTTCTAGATGCCTGTTTTAAAGAACGTAACTCTGAATTAAACCAAGGAGTCGGCTTCCTCCGATCGATATCTTTCTTTTTTTGTGAAGCAGTTTCATCAAGAGAGGTTTGCATTAAAGTTGTAATATTATCAACAAGACTATCTAAGTTACTGTTCTCTGTTACATTATTCTGTAAGACAGAGGAAAATAAAGATGGAAGAGATTCTTTAAATTTAGCTACAGCATTCTCTGACAAACGTCTACTATAATGAAATTTACTCTCAGTAGCCATAAAGTCAGCTAATGTTAACTCAAAGGTTATTAAAAAATGGTCGGCGAGAACAGGATTGTGAGGATATATCATTAAATTCTTGCTCTCTACACCATACGTCAGAACAAGATCAAGAGTGCGATGAAGGGAGTCTGTGGATATTTTGAGTAAAACCAATTGACTCAGATTACTAAAGGCTATACTGTACTGTATTTAAGCTATCACTTTCACTATCAACATGAATGTCAAAATCTCCCATTACTGTAATTTTATCAGTATTTAATAATAAATCAGTCAAAAAATCAGAGGATTCTGATCAAAACTGAGAATAAGAGCCTGGAGGATAATAAATAACAACAAGTAGTAGAGGTTTTTCTGATTTCCATTTTGGATGAGAAAGACTGAGGGACAAAGACTCAAACAAAATATAACTAATATTTGATTTAGCATTAAGTAATAGTTCTGACTTATAAACGATAGCTACTCCTCCACCAGGAACTGATGTTCTAGGAACATGAAAATTAAAAAAATTAACAGGAGTGGATTGATTCATACTAACAAAATCCTCCTGTTTTAACCAGGTTTCACTAAGACAGAATAAACCAATATGATGATCAGTTACTCTAAAATCCAAGATGGCACCACGGATAGTCGCCCTGGTGTTTTGGTGCTCTCCGTTTTGATTGTTTTTGTGGGTTACTAATGTGTCTTCATGCTCCTACACCCGAGAAGAGCTTCTAAACATCAGAACTACAACCCCACTGGATATTACACCATTTTTTCTAGTGCCTGCTGCTGAACTTGTGCACTTTATGGCCAAAAGAGTGAGATGCCGCTGGAGAGGAAAGTGCGCTGGCACACTCATGTGCCTCCGCAAATGTGGAACCCACATGCCTCTACCTGGAATTTTTCTCTCCAATGTTTGCTCACTTTGCAACAAAATGGACGAGATAGCGCTGCTAATGAGAAGGAATAGTGACTTCTCCTTCTGTGTGCTATGCTTCACAGAGACATGGCTGAACGCACAAATCCTTGTAGGGGTCACCTCGAGTGAAGAAACAGGAATTACTGCCTCAAAGCAGGTCTCGCACAGGCCTGAGA